CACACTTGCTAGGATTACAATGCAATCCTGACAGTAAGTAGAAGCCTTGCAGAACCTGTTTCACTTTGTTAATTGCTTGACCAGAACCCTCTGTGAAGATCAATAAGTCATCTGCAAAACACATATGACTCATTGCAACCTGTTTACATCTTGGTTGAAATGGGAGGTTGCCTGACTATGTAGCCTCATTCAACAAGCCAGATAAACCCTCCATCGCAATCGCGAACATATATGGGGAGATTGGATCTCCCTGCCTCACTCCCTTGGCGGCTTTAAAGAACCCGCATAATCCTCCATTTATATTCAAACTAAAGTGAGCAGTTTGCAAACAAGCTTTAATACAAACATAAAAATTCTACTGGAAATCGCATTGCCTTCATCACCTTGAACAAATAATCCCAGTTCACCGAATCGAATGCTTTCATAAGGTCTATTTTTATCGCACAATGAGATGATAGCATTCTCCTATGATAACCATTGACAAGTTCTTGTGCCAGCATAATGTTATACATAATTATGCGCCCTTAATAAAAGCAGTTTGATTTGGGCTAATCACAGTAGGCAGGACCTCTCTAATTCGTTTTGACAGCATCTTAGCAACTATCTTGTAGACTATATTCACGCAAGAAATAGGTCTAAAATCTTTAAGATGAATAGCATTGGGTACCTTTGGACATAGAGAAACCACTGTAGAATTTATCCCACCGATCATTCTCTTTGTCTGAAAGAACTCCAAGATAGCACTGGTCATATCCCTTCCCACAATATGCCAAGTTTTCTGGAAAAAACCTGCAAAAAATCCATCAGGGCTTGGTGCTCTGTGTATATCCATGCTAAATATCGCTTCGCGCACATATGCTTCTGTGAATGGCCTGATCAACATGCTCTGCTCATCTTCAGCCAAATGCTTTTTGATTATCTCGCAAATCCTCTCCTCATTAGCTACCACATCCTCATTAATAACAACAAATAGACCTTTATAGAATTTAATACCCTAAACTGCAATTTCATCAAAATCAATCACTTCAGCCCCAGAATCTAAGACAATCTTCCTTATGGTAGTTTTTGAAGTTCGAATCCTAATAGCTTGGTGGAAGAATCTAGTCCCCAGGTCACCTTTAGAGAGCCAAGATTCTCGAGATGTCCTTTTATAGAAATCCTCTTCAGCTTTTCTCAACACTTCAAACTGTTCTTGGAGTAATTTTGTATCCTTGAAATGCTCTTCTGATGGCTCCATTAATGCTAGTGCCTGAGTCACTAGAAGTTGCTGCTCCACTACCCGAACCTGCTCACTGATATTATCATATACTTCTCTGTTCAACTTCTTAAGTTCCCTCTTCACAACCTTTAGCTTGCATTGTACTACATAAAGGAGGTTTCCTGTGAATCGAGTAGCCTAAGCCTGCTCTACAATCTCCAGAAACCTACTATTATCTGCCCAAAAATCAAAGTATTTAAACGTTTTGGGAGACTCTTCATTATCGGAGCAGTATTGACTAAAATCCTACCATGATCAGAAAAGGATCCAAGAATCACCTTCATAGTGCCATTAGGAAAGCTCTCAATCCAGTCAACATTCACAAGGCCTCGATCAAGTTTTTTTGCTATAGGATTGGCTTCCTGGTTGTTGGACCACGTGAAAATAGGACTTTTATATGATAGTTCACTAGTTCCATATTATTCATCCATGTAGAAAAATCCACCATACTGGCAGTGATGTAACGCTGATTGGATGTCTCCTCTGGGGACATCACCGTAATGAAATCACCCCCCATAATCCAAGCTTGGCCATCTACCTTATACCTACTCAATTTAGTGTATGTATCTCGTCGCTCAACTTCCTCATTTGATGCATAGACTGCTGTGAATAAGCAAGACTCACCAGAAGCACTTTGCACCAGGCAATGAACGAAGTTCTTACTTGGTTTAAGCACCCTTAGCTTACATTAAGGGGACCAAAATAACCATATCATTCCTAAGTCAGAATCTACATATTCAAAAACTTCTCCCAACCATCAAAATAACCTTCAATCTTCTCCTCCGCTTTATTTTCATGGACTCTTGTCTCGAGAACTGCAACCACATCAACTCTGTGCTTTCGCAGGATTTTGTCGAGGGTTTATTAAACCCTCGAACGTTCCAATAGAGAAAAATCATCTGGAAGTCGGGGGCTTAGCCCCTAACTTCTTACTGTCTTTTCTTGGTGCTGCTTGCAGCTTCACTACCTCAGACTCATCAATATCACTCAGTATACTAAAGGAGTATACTAAAGGAGGAGGGAGAAACATTTTTATTTCTCCTTGTTTATTAATCACTCTTATTTTCTTCGTTTTAACTCGATTTTCAATTTTTTTTGTATAGATGGAACGAGTTCGTTGTGCTCTACAAAATGGGGTCCATTTTCAATATTTTTTGAGAAAAAAATTCGTTGCCTCTCGTTACCAACTACATACCATATGGTATCTTCTTCGCTTTTAAGTCATTTTTGAAAAATTTTGCACAGAAGGAACGAGTTCATCATGATCTACTGGATCAACAAATTTTTGGGTGAACAAAATACATGACCAAAATATACCACACAGTACCACCTAATACCACCCTAGTACATGGTGGTATCTTGTGGTACACAATGTTGAAAGTCGTAAATGACAGTTAGTATACTTCTACTATCATGTATTCAATTATCCTACAATCTTGGTATGTTCATACCAGAATGGTAAGTTTTCTCATACCATATGATATGCTCTTATTTAATACCAGTCCATACCATATGGTATATACTAGTAAAAAATGAATCAATTTTTTGTTCAAAAAATATATCAAAGTGGATATCATTTTGAAGAGCACAATCTAATCTAACTGTGCAAAAAAAAAATTAATTCCGACTTAAAACCGAGTGAGAAATCATCCATTAAAAATTAAGGGGGGAAAATTAAAGACTTTTCAGGAGAGAGAATAATTGCTGATGTGGGGGATGCTGATTGGATTATGCATGTTTACTCACCACAAGGTTATTCATAGAAACTGTTTCCGGTGGGAGGAGCAGATTCTTTCAATTAGGGGTGGGCAATGGGCGGGGGGTTTTCATTTCAAATTCACCCACACGCTTACTAGCGAGTTGGAATAATTGTGACCCGCAATCCATCTACATTCTTCTGCGGGTCGGGTTGGGTGGATGATGGATGAGTGCGGTTGGGTCGTGGGTTAACTCGCAAAAGCAATTTTCCAATTAACCATTAAGAAAGTTCGACTAAAATTTATAATAAGTTCATAGTAAATTAGTATGATTGTATCAATTTAAAAGCTTCTCATTTTTTCTCAAGTATGTCCATGTAGTATTTGCATAAATTTTCTTACTACTCTATCAACTAGTTGTGTAGAGAAAACTTAAGCATTTTGTGATTTTGATAAAATTAATAATTTAAAGTTCCCATCCAATATCTAATGGATATTAACAATAATTTTCATTCCAATATCCAATATCTAATGGATATTACAAACACAATAACCAATAATAGTAGTCAAAACAACATTTTTTCCATGTGAAAATAGGATGCGGGTCATTCGGGTGACCCGCAATCCACCCACCACCCACCCACATAAGTGCGGGTGGGAGATTTATCAATCCGCAATCCACCCGCATCAATCACCCACTACTTGCGGGTCGGGTTATATGCGGGTGGATCGACATCAATCCGCGGATTAACCACCCACGTGCCCACCCCTACTTTCAATAACCTTGTGGTCAATAATTATGCATAACCCAATCAGAATCTACCACATCACTGCCCATTCTGTCTCCTGAAAAGCATTTAATTTTCCCCCTCTTAATCTTTAACGGACGATTTCTCACTCGTTTTAACTCGATTTTTTTTTGCGCAGTTAGATCACATTAATTGTGCTATTCAAAATTATTTCACTTTGATATATTTTTTAAACAAAAAAAATTGAGCCATTTTTTACCAGTCTATACTATATGATATTGACTGGAATTGAAATAAGAGCATACCTATGGTATGAAAAGCGTACCATGGTGGTATGAACAAACCAAGACTGTAGGATGGTTGAATAAATGATAGTAGACGTATATTAACTGCATTTACGACTTTTAACATTGTGTGCCACAAGATACCACCCCGTACTAGGGTGGTATTGTGTGGTATTGTTTGGTCCTGTATTTTGTTCACCCAAAAATTTGTAGATACAATAGATCATGATAAACTCGTTCCTTCTATGCAAAAAATTTCAAAAACGAATTACAAACGAAGAAGATACCATATGGTATGCACTTGGTACGGAGAGGCAAGAAATTTTTTTTCTCAAAAAATATTGAAAATTGATATCATTTTGTAGAGCACAAGGAACTCGTTCCATCTGTACAAAAAATTGAAATCCAAGTTAAAACGAAGAAGATATTAGCCGATTAAGAAAACAAGAAAAGATAAAAATGTCTATAATTCTCCACCCTTAGATCCGGGCTTTCTGAATAAATTGTCCAGATTTAGTTACTAATGAGTGCATAACTGTATCTTGAGCCCCGGTGGGAGGGAGGTTTTTTTTATTCTTGCCGATTGGATGGAAAAATGGATGGAGAGAGAAATTGGGTGCACAATTTTAATTTAAATGGTATACCTCCCTCAATTTAATGCCCCATCCCAGCCATTTTACCTTAATGTACAACCGTATAAGTTGACATACCTCTCACTAATTTAATCATATTCTGGCACTAGAATAAATTGTAAACCTCAGTTGGAAATCCAATTGTATCTTACTAATTGGGAGGCAAATCAGTAAAGTATCGGCCAAGATTCATTTTAAGTTAACCCAAGACCCAAATAAGGAAGTTGTTCTTAACTAAATAGAAACCCTAAAATGAGGAATAAATTAATAATTGGCTACAGCCTGCATTACAGTCGTTCATATCATAAGAAAAAGCCGCCATTAGTTAGCATATTTAAAGTGGGCTAGGGCTTAGGCGTGAGGGGGGAATTCTCTCTCTCTATATATATATTGGGATTCCGTGTAGGATTCACGTTCGTGCACTCACAGTTGGAAGCTTGCAGCTCACAGCAGCACGGCAGTGACGACTGATAGCCCACCATTGGAATCTGACCTTCTGGGTGTTATTCCACGTAAGATTCTCTCTTGCTCTTCTATTCTTATGATTTCCTTGCTATTGCTAGCTAGCTAGTGGCTTGTAGGAATATTTGTAAACTAGGAGCAGAGATAGAGACAAGTGAGGATAATGGCAAGGTAAAACTGTGAAACGATTACATGATACTAGTGTCTCTGTCGTCGTCGGTTACCCTCTTGTTTGCGTTTTATCTGGGAAAAAACTACACAATCGTGATGTTAAATCATGATTGCAGTAGTATAGTTATCTGGAAAAAAGAAAAGACAAATTAGGAGTGCATTTTGTTAGAGCGTTAGGTTGTGGGAAACGAATTAGGAACACAAACTTTCACGCCCTACCATTGGAATCAGTCGGATAAGAAACGGAATATATTTTTTTTACCTAACTCAATTGATGAAAAGTCTGATCATGGAAAGAAATGTACAAGTTAGGTTGGATAAAGAAGAATGCAGCTTTTGTGATGGCTGACTATACATGGAGGAGAGGGGCCGGAAGGGGAATTGGGCATCCTGTTCTTGAATTGAATTCCCTTCTCCATCCTCTCAGGCTCTCACTCTCACTGTGTTCTATGAAACAAAGAAAAAGGGAAGCAAAGTGGAAAGGGGAGTGAAGAGAAACTTGTCTGTTACGTTAGGGAGACAAAGCAAAGCTATACCCAATTAATTGCTCCACCAACGTCACATATCTGTTCCCCAGTCCATCTTGTTATTACTTTTGCATGCATCACATTCACTCACTCCTCAATTTTTGGGTTATCTCCTCATCATCGTGTCATGCTGCCTAGCCTAGCTAGCTATTGGATTCCAAACTAGAGAGAGAGAGAGAGAGAGAGAGATGGAAGAAAGAAAGAATTGGGTTCTGCTTTGGTGGGAAGCGCATAATTATGTTGTAGCTAGCTCCCACTATATATATTTGAAGATTCGGCTGATGAACTTCATTCATTCATTAACCGACTAAACTATATTATATCTATCTCCTTTGGGCAGGGTGTTTCATTTCTGCCTGTTTGCTGCTGCTTCTACTCCTTCCACCTCCACTTATTTTCTGGTAATTAAGCCTCACTTCAAACACTCCTCTTTCTTTCTTTCTTTATGGCCACTGGATTTCTAGGAGTTCATTTTCTATCTTTTATATGCTCCGTTTGTTGTTATAACTATTGGTTTAATCCTTACCGAAATTTAGTACGATTAGCTTGGTAGTAATAAGTTTAACTTAGAACTACCAGTTCATAAGAAGAAGAAAAAATGCTATATGGTAAAACAGCTTGTGATCTTGACCAATGATAGGTTGACTCAATCAATAGGTTCATGCATTACAAAAAAATTTGAATTTGTCGGGATATTTTTCAATATGTCGTGTTGAGTCGAGTTTCGAAAAATTGATATAATACAAAGAGTTTCTGAATAATGGTTACAAATCACTATTGAGATGGGCAGCTCATTTACTTATATGAAAAGGATGGCAACTCATTGAATTATTTGAAAAAATAAAACTATTTTATCTTATTTATCACATTTTAAGAAATTTTAACGATAAACTGATTAAGTCACCGGCATGATGATAGGAATGACAGATATTTGTAGGCAGAAACCTCAAAATTTGTCAACGTCTTATTTTTATTTTGGAATATTAGTTGACGTATAATTTTATTTGAAGTAATCTTTGGTAGCTGGCTCTCTAATTCCTAATATATCCTACGAGATTACCATATAATTGCCAGCAATTTCATACTTATCATTTTACTTATGGCTGCCGTTCCCCACTTGTGTTCCGCAAAGCAGCCATAAAAAATATGAACTGAAGTTGCATACAAATCATAACTGATACGATTTAAATTGGGCATTTTTCTGCTGAAAAAAATCACATAATAATAAAGTTTAAGGTAGGTTCATTCTACAACAAACAAACTTTAATTTATTATTTTTAGGAAAAAGTTACATATAATCAAAATAAGTCTACTATCTCAGTCAAAAGAATTAAAAAAAAAAGTCGACATTTGTCAGTCCTACATTAAAAATATTTTTTCATAAATAATTTCTAATATTTTAGATAAATTCCACACCGACCAACTATGTGAGAGATTTATGAGCACGAGAAACAATTTGACGTTCACGGACAAAGCATACTTTTTAGAATAATGAATTTTTTTTTTGTAAAACTAAATTTGAATGTGGTAATAAGGTAGGGGAGCAATGTAGACATAGGAAGTTTCTTAAAAAATGACACCCAAAAATAAGACTGTGTAAAAAGAGACACAAAATCATAAATAAAATGTGTTATGATGTTACATGGTAAAAAAAAAATGAAATTTGAACATGTGATCACTAAATTATTCTATTAGTAATTTAGTCCTACGATAATGTTACAAGTACATGTTGCTAGTAATCAATTTGTTAGTTTTATGGAATATATATCTCATTGGAAACATAAGGAAGTACTAGACAAAGCACTGAAACACCCTTCCACAACACCCTTCCACAATTCCACGTTTCAAGGGAAGAAAAAAGGCTGATAAATGGACCACAACTTGCTTTCTTCTTTCTCTATGCTCTGCTATTTACCTAACCTTCTAGCAAGTTCATAGGCGGTGCTCAGTATTGACTAATTTAGGAGAAAAAAAAGGTTCTTCTTTCTTTCTTTCTTCTTCATTTCATGTTTTCATTTTTGTTAATGTGATTAATGAGAAATGTCTACTGGTGTATGACATGGATCCTCTATCCTATCCTTGTATACATAAGGCAAGAAATCAAGAAGTAGCAAAATTGATTAATGGGTTACTCAAAATTGACTTCGATTTCTTACTTGCTCTGTATAAATACAGCACACACACTGACGATTCGTCGCATCCCATTCTGCATTCAGCTTTCTCTTCCATTTCTCCTTTTCCCCTCCCTCTTAATCTCTTGTATTCTGGGTTTTGATTAGAAAAAGAGGGAACCATGAACGCATTAGCAGCAACCAACAGAAACTTCAAGCTAGCAGCTAGGCTTTTGGGTCTTGACTCCAAGCTCGAGAAGAGCTTGCTCATCCCTTTCAGAGAAATCAAGGTAAGAATCCATCGATCTCCCTCACAAAGTTATGATCTTTGCGTTCAAAGGACAACTGGGTTTTCACCGGTTTTGGTGTTCTGATCGAATATTTAGCTGGGTTGAGTTGTACAGTGGGGTTGTTTGTTATAGGCTTTTCAGGGTGTTCCTTCTCTGGGAACTTCCTCTCGTTGTATCAGTGTGTACTGTGTAGGGATTGCTTTGATTCCTCTCCATTTTTATTGGAACAAAATGGAACTGATTCAACGAATTTTTGTTGTTGTTGTTGTGGTGGGTTGCTGTAATTTTTTTTAATTGCAGGTTGAATGTACAATTCCTAAAGATGATGGAACTTTGGCATCATTTGTTGGGTTCAGGGTTCAGCATGACAATGCCAGAGGTCCCATGAAAGGAGGAATCCGATATCATCCTGAGGTTTTTTTTTTTGTGATATTCTTCCTTTTTTCCCAGATCTCCCTTTTTCCTTTTGTCTTTTTCAGTAAAAATCTCTCCTTTTGTTTTTTCTTATTGGATCTTTTGCTGTTTTTTTACAGGTTGATCCTGATGAAGTGAATGCACTAGCACAGCTCATGACATGGAAAACTGCAGTGGCAAATATTCCATATGGTGGTGCAAAAGGTGGGATTGGATGCAACCCAGGAGACCTGAGCATTTCAGAACTAGAAAGGCTTACTAGGGTTTTCACCCAAAAGATTCATGATTTGATTGGAATTCATATTGATGTTCCTGCCCCTGATATGGGCACTGGCCCTCAGGTAAAGTAAAAACTAACCCTTTTCATTCCTGATCCAAAATTTTGCTTTCTGAGCACGGAATTGATCTTGAAAGTCTCTGCCTTTCATGTGCTAACAGACCATGGCTTGGATTCTCGACGAATACTCCAAATTCCATGGCCACTCACCTGCTGTGGTCACAGGAAAACCCATTGTAAGATTACCTTTTTTCTTCTCGGCCTTGGATCAGATTTTGTTGTTTGCCTGTGCAATTTGTTTACATAATCGCATGTTGTACTTGTGTGCGAACTTTCATCATGAATTTAGGATCTTGGTGGGTCACTTGGGAGAGATGCTGCAACTGGGAGAGGAGTGCTGTTTGCAGCTGAGGCCTTGCTGAATGAGCATGGAAAGACTGTTTCTGGACAGCGATTTGCCATACAGGTTTGCAACTTTCTTAGCCAATGACATTAGGGTTTTTTGGTGAGAGGATTTCACTTTTGTCCTTTATCAATCATGGATTGATGGTTTCACGATATCTAGGGTTTTGGTAATGTGGGTTCCTGGGCTGCCCAACTGATTCATGAGCAAGGTGGGAAGGTTGTTGCAGTGAGTGACATCACTGGGGCTATCAAGAATAGCAAAGGAATTGATGTACCAAGTCTCATGAAACATGTGAAGGAACACAAGGGTGTGAAAGGGTTTCATGGAGCTGATGCCATTGAACCCCAATCAGTATTAGTTGAGGACTGTGACATCCTAATCCCAGCTGCCCTTGGAGGTGTCATCAACAGGTTTGTTTTTGGTGTTGAGCAGAATCTTTTACTGCTTTTGAGATTGTTAACAACTGAAATCGCTGGAACTAAACGTAAGCTTCTTCCTTCCTCCTTTTGGGTGATTGAAGGGAAAATGCCAATGATATCAAAGCCAAATTTATTGTTGAAGCTGCTAATCATCCAACTGATCCAGAAGCTGATGAGGTTTGTGCTTGAATTGTTTGAGGGGCTCAGAGTTGTGAATGAACTCGCAAATTGTTGAAGAATATAAACCCTTAATGCATCAAATTTTCCTTTTTGCAGATATTGTCAAAGAAAGGTGTTGTGATTCTTCCAGATATTTATGCAAACTCGGGTGGAGTTACTGTTAGTTACTTTGAGTGGGTGCAGGTATTGTATCTCTCCAGTTTTCTCCAATACCATCTTTTATCCACGACTTTTTCCGATGAACCCTTCTTTTGATTATGTGCCTGTATATGTCCAGAACATTCAAGGATTCATGTGGGAGGAAGAGAAAGTGAATGATGTACTGAAGACTTACATGACCAAAGGGTTCAAAGATGTGAAGGAGATGTGCAAAACACATGATTGTGATCTCAGGATGGGCGCCTTCACCCTCGGAGTTAACCGTGTTGCCCGAGCTACTGTTCTTCGAGGTTGGGAAGCTTGATGATGAGATTCTGATGATGATGATCACTAATTTGGAATAAGGTTTTGGAAGGCTCCAGCTGCAGCCCCTACCCGTTCTTTTTTCTTTATATAGTCTGCAGCAATTTCTCATAACCAAGATTTATTTCTTGCCATATCTACTCGGCCATATTTTCAGTGCGTGATTTGTCATTCCAATTCCTTGCATAAAGGAGGGAAATGTATCCAAGTTACATTAAATTTTAGTTTAGAATGAGTGGTAATCATACCACAAGGAGAGCCATCTGCAATTCTGCATATCATGATCAGTTCTGAATTCTGCTATGGTATTTGTGGGCGGAGATATGACTGAACTGGAAGGGCCGATTATTACTGAAATGATAGAAACCGTTATCAAGTTTCCTTTATGCCTCTTCAGTGTAAGATTAGTTTATACTTTATCGAGTTCATATAATAGATGAATGAAGAATGTACAAAATGGGTTATCTTTTTCAAAATGGGTGAATGGAAATGTACAAAGGGCACTGTACAACTATACAATTTACATATGACCCATCAAAACTTCCTAGCAGAAATTTGCTTTTGATTCCCGTGCCAATTCAGTTCAATGCAATCTTACATTTGCCGAATTCAAACTTCTGGACCGAAACTGGCTTTCGATTCAATCAAGTCTTTGCGCCGATTCAGAGCAATGTTAGCTATAAGATGACAGCCTAAGACAGGTTAATCTTAAAAGCTAGCTATGGAGCAGCTTCATTCATATCCACGGAAGATTTCAACAGGAAATTCAATAACCAAACAGGGCTAAACAGAAAGCTTCCATTGATGCTCAATAGTTGGACATCATAAACAGAGTTCAGGGTATCGATGGCCATCAGTAGACCACAAGAGTACACTTAGTATCATCAATGACAATACATAAACTTTTTGACCTATGATCTTCCTCTACCCCTAAAACCACCTCTTGGAGGACCCCTGCCTCTAAAGCCTCCTCCACCTCTTGGAGCACCCCTTCCTCTAAAGCCTCCTCCACGGCCACCACCTCTAAAACCTCCTCCCCTGCCTCCTCCACGGCCTCCTCTTGTAGCAGTTGCTTGTCCCCTGCTCCAACATCAGAATAAATATGAATTTAGTACCAGCATCAAGAATTCATTTCAACCATAGGTAAGGCTGATGAATGAAGCCATGAACAAGGATCATGGAAAGCCAGAAACGAAGTTTCAAATGGTAAAGCAAGAAACATACTTTGGCTGTGGCAGGAATCTTGCAAGAGGCAAAAGCTTATTGGGGTCAATGAAGAATTTGTCTCCAGGAGCATAGGAACTTGCCACAATGCCTTCCATCATTTTGATAGAGAAAAACTGCAAAACATACAAGGGAGATAACATGAGAAACAGAAAGTTCACAATGAAGAGGGGAAGTGCTTGCTAAATGGAATGGTGAGATGTAAGAACACTTACAGATTCATTTATGGGGCCGAAGATCTCGTCCACTTTGCCTATCTGGGTCTTGTTCTGCAGAAAGATTGGGGCGTTGAAGTAAGGAATTTTCTCATTGCTGAGCTTTGTAACAGCATCACCCTCACAGGCATGAAGAAACGTCGAAATCTCTGCCAAAATTAGCAGAATACGCACCATAAAAATCATCATTTGAGTTAGAGACACTAGGCTTATGCATTTTTTGAATCAGCTAACTCCAAGCTCAATCATACACCCTTTTGTCGAATCCCAAGAACAAAAGTATTGCCAATGTTAAGTTTAAACTCGAAGTTAGAGCACTGCAGAGATGCAGACATTCACCATTGCCCCTGTTGGCCAGAGACCAACCATCAAATGCATGTTGACAGTTTGAAATGTCAACCAAAACAACTTCTTCAGTTCTGTCATTATTTAAGTTCACAGTTCTACCAGCTATTCTAAAGCTTAATCATATCACTATTATCCGAGAAACATACTGGTCTTATGCCCAATCAAAGTAAAAAACAGTTCAAAGATGCAAACTTCACCACTTCTGCTTCCTTTTCCCCCTCTGTTCTCTCGAGGCCAAACATCTAATGCATGTTCAAAGATCAAATATGAAATATAAAAATAACTTGTCTAGTTCCCTTAAGCAGCTGTTTCAGCTGCGATAAGAAATAAACATGAATGAAAAGAAAAGAAAGGTAACAAAGACAAGACAAGACTAACCTACAACTTCAGAAGGAGGTCCTTCATCCCGAAAACCACCACCACCAAACCGTCCGCCGCCGCCACGCCCGCCACGGAAACCTCGTCCGGCACCTCCGCGACCGCCGTCTCGTCCTCCTCTAAACCCGCCACCGCCTCTCGGGGGTCTCATTGTTGTTCTTCTACTTCGCCGCCGCCGCTGCTGCTGGGAGGATCACAGAGCTTAACAAGGAGAACTTCTGTGAAAGAGAACTTCTGGTGAAGCTTTGGTAGATTTTCAGGGTTTAATTGTAGAACGCCATTTGGAGCGCTAGGGTTTTAGCAATTGGGCTGGACTTGTACCAATTTACATAAGCCCAGAAAATATGATGAGCCAACGGGCCCCGGAGGGAGCCAAAATTTGAAGTCCACGCAAATTGACTAACTACTCCCTCAAGCTCACTTTAGCGTGACAAACGAGGAAATTTTAACATGTTCCGGTGTTAGAAAGTTAGGGTTTAAGGTCGCTTGTGGCTCGGGCGAGTGGCAGCGCTCGGAAGTCGGAAGTTAGCAAGTTTCCTCGGAAGAAAAGGAGAACGTGGGACGAACTTTTCTTCTCTCCATGTATATAATGGGAACTTCTTGGGAGTTTTCATGAACTTGTTGATTACTATATCATTGAAACAGGCAAAATCGATAACTGCAACTAGCTACTTTTGCTTCCCATCCATAAAAGTGCTAGCTTTGAAGGCTTCGATAGGAGTGGCAGTAAGGAGCGAAAAGAAGAGCAGTTTGGTTGAGCGGGGAGAAGAAAGGAGAGAAGCAATGGCAGCTGAGCTCGATGAATTAACCGTCGTCAAGGAAGGAGAGGCTGAGATTCTTATGCATGCTAAAAATGAAGTCTTCTATAACAAGACCCAGGTCCCGATGAATTCCCTGATTCATTTTGTTTGCTGTAATAAGTGAACTGGAAGATGGGTTTTGGTGGGAGGTTTAAGTTTTTTCGGTTTTGAATTATATCTAATTGGGTTTGGTTAAGTTGGAATAATGCTGTGCTATGAAAAACGGTTCTCATTCTTTGAAGTTTCTTATTTGATGCTTAAGTATAGTAGTTCATGAATTCTTGCTTCAGTTTACTGAGGTAAGATGTCCAATAATGTGCTGGAGGAGTTTATTAATTAAATTGCTGGTTATGTGGGTAATGAAGTAATCCAGATAACTTGTTCTGTAAATGGGCAGGTTAACAATCGTGATATATCAATTGCTGTGCTGAGGATATTTATATCCAAACGCAAGGAAGAGCATGAATCCAAGCTGTCCAAAAGAACCAAGTCTGCAGCTAAGGTTTCTGAAAGTGGTGCTGCTGAGTCTGCTGTTAATGAAGAGAAATGCAATGGAAACACTAAAGTCCCTAAAGAGACTTCTGAAGTCGCTGAAAAGACTTCTACAGCTGAACCTTGCACCACCTTTGAAGAAATGGTGAAGACCACCGAGGGAAAAGTTAGAGTGGAGCTAAAACCTCCCAGGGTTCTTGAGGTTCTTGAATACAAACTCTTTTTTAGCTCTTTACAATACTGTGGATATGCTGCAGTCACTTGCTAAGTATTTTCCTGCGCATGTAGGCTCTGTCAGCATCCGGTTTAAGAGCTCTGAGGTATGCTCGTGAAATTGAAGGGATTGGTCAAATTGTGGCTTTGGACAATGATAAAGGTGAGTCTTTTTGTAGGCCAAAGCTTCTTGATGGATCCGGTTAACCTGCTCTGATTTTCTTATTTTGGTATATTTCTTTTGCTTTCAGCTTCAGTTGAAGCCTGCAGGAGAAATATAAAGTTCAATGGTTCTGTGGCAATTTCCAAGGTGGAATCCAATCTTGCTGATGCTCGTGTATACATGTTGACTCATCCAAAAGAGTTTGATGTGGTATGTTTAATCCTTAGGTGGTTGTCTGTGTTCAAATGTAGCTACATCCGAGCCGTGATTAACTTCTGGAATTGAAAAGATCTGGACTTCTATCGTGATATATGTTCAATCCAGTGGCCTTGATGGGGGGAGGGCTGTTCCTAATTTGTTTTTTCGTATTATCTCAGGTTGATCTTGATCCTTACGGGTCACCTTCAGTGTTTCTGGACTCTGCTGTTCAGTCAGTTGCTGATGGTGGCATTCTGATGTGCACAGCAACTGATATGGCAGTGCTTTGTGGAGGTAATGGTGAGGTTTGCTATTCCAAGTAAGAAAATGCATCCATCACTTTACTTTGAATGCTGATTTGTTTATATTGGCTCGTCTTAACTCATATTTGTTAATATAGGTACGGTTCCTACCCATTGAGGGGAAAATATTGCCATGAAATGGCTTTGAGGATCCTACTTGCTTCGATTGAGGTACCTTCATACCCCTTAAAAATAGTGATAAAGTAGAAATTATGCAGTGACTCTTATTCCGATTGTATTAATTGTGAATGATTGATGGTTTTTGCATATGAAAGGATTAAATTTGGCAAGGGATTCCCTTAAACGTTAAGATTAGCAATTGTATTGGTTCTTTCTGTTACGTCATGGTGTATATAGATCCTTTGTGCAAATGAATTACTGTGCTTTGGGTAAGGTTTACGAGTGCTTTCTTTACTAATTCCTGGCTATAAATGCAGAGCCATGCAAATCGATACAAGCGTTACATTGTTCCTGTTCTATCAGTACAGATGGACTTCTATGTTAGGGTTTTTGTTCGCGTCTATACGTAAGTTATACTTTCATGACACTACTTTATTCCAAACTTATATATGGATGTAGAAGGTAGTGCCTTGATTGTCCATAACAAGAAACTCGTAAGGTGTGTTCTTTACAGTTCAGCCGGTGCGATGAAGAATACTCCTCTCAAGCTATCTTATGTTTACCAATGCATTGGATGTGACTCTTTCCATCTTCAACCTATTGGAAGGACCCTTGCCAAGGTTTGCATCTCATGAATATTTGATTGTCATTGCTTGTGAGGTAGCGTATATTGTGTATGCCTGAGCCTGAACTTCCCATATTGCCTACAAAAACGTGAAATCCTTTTATGTATTCTGATCAATATATGATTGTATTTCTTCCTATTCTGAATTCTTAACCACGGCTTTAATTTTCCAGAATAACAGCGTAAGGTATATGCCTGGTTTTGGCCCCGCTGTACCTCAAGAATGTACAGACTGTGGGAAGAAATTCAACATGGGTGGTCCTGTTTGGTCTGCTCCAATTCATGATCCAGAATGGGTAGCCTCTATACTTGAAGATGTAAAATCTATGAAGGACCGGTACCCTGCATATGAGCGCATATCTGCGGTACTGACAACAATCTCAGAGGAACTGCCAGATGTCCCTCTCTTTTTGAGCTTGCACAATCTGTGTGCTACCCTAAAGTGCACTTCCCCGTCTGCAGTCATCTTCCGCTCTGCTGTGATAAACGCAGGGTTTCGTATATCAGGAACTCACGTCAACCCTCTGGGGTTAAAATCCGATGCACCAATGGATGTCATTTGGGATATAATGAGATGCTGGGTGAGCGCACTTTATCTGTAAGTTATAGGAAGAATAATGTGCGTTCTAAATATTGTCCCTGGCCATTAAACCATCGGAGCTATCATCTAACATCGCAGGTTAAAAACCATCCAGTGAAAGCTCAGGCACCCGATCAGGCTGGAAGCGTAATTCTTGCCAAAGAACCAGTTCTGCAAGTACAATTGCTCTCTGATAACCTTCTACTTCCTGTTCTCTTGTGCTTTTATGAACTCACAGCAGCTGCTCAACTGTACTAACTAAGTATTTTCTTTTTGCTTGTTTCAGGCAAACTTTGCTCGAGCTGTTGCGTCTCTCAGCAAGGCGCAAGCAAAGAAAGTTGCTCGCTTTCTCCCTAATCCAGAGAGGCACTGGGGCCCCAAAGTCAAGGCGGGTCGTATTATTACCAGCAAGCACATTTCCCTTCTGGGACCAGAGGCCGTGAATGGATACCTCAGCCATGAGAATGGTGGTGATGAAGAAGGGCCGGAAACGAAGCGTGTGAAAACAGAGGAAGAAGTGGAAGATCCTACTCCGGAGGTTTCATAGTGGTCAAGCAGCTGGTTAGGCGGCAGGCTACCTCTGCCGATATTTATGTCCCTTGTTTGTGGAAATTCGTTCCCAGCTTCCGAAAGAAACGGTGGCAATTTTGATTTACTTGGGTTGGGTTGTTCTTCACGTAGTGGTTTTACATTTCGTGTTACTTTTTTCTACCATTCTTTTTCTTTTTGGTTAATAAACTCTATTGGATTTCTAGCAAGGTTCGTGGCTTCTCTTTGTCATTTTAGGAAACGGGACAAGATAGGATGTGGAATTGTAAAATGCGAAATGGGCTTCCTAAGATGACCAATGTATCCTAACATCCAATCCTTTGCTGAACTTAGAGCTAGAATATCTATAGTTAATCAAATCAAGCGGGGTAAGAGGCATTTTAGTGTGCTTTATAGTATTGGTACTATAAAATATTTACAGCCATTAGATCATGTTCAAACTATATCAACCATTAGATTTTATTTAAATTATTAAATTATTATTTTATTTGTGTGTGATAACCGGTACAACCGGTTGTCTGAAACCAATTGAGACAAACACTATCTTCCTTCGAAACCATTCTTCTCACCGCCGAAACCCTTCTTCCTTCGATCCTCTTCCTTCCTTCGATCCTCTCCACGCAGCTAGCGAGCAGTGAAGACGACGAGCAGTGGGTGACGACGAGTGAAGACGGCGAGCAGTGGGTGACGACGAGTGAAGACGGCGAGCAGTGGGTGACGACGAGTAGAAGGCGGCAGTGAAGGCGGCGATTCGGATTCCAGATTCCGACGACGACAGTGAAGGCGGCGAGCAAGGGACGACGAGAGCGAGCATCTCTTCGTCGATTGCAAACGAAGACCCTCTTCCCATCGATAGCTAACGAAGACTCTGCACAAAACCCCTCTTCCCATCGATAGCAAACGAAGACCGCTGACCTACCTCCTCCACCGCAACTTTTTTCGGTTAGTACTATCTTCTTTGTGTTTAGCTTGATAATTAGCTGCAATGGCGGTTCCTGTTGTTCCTTCACTTGTTTTGAAGGAGAATTTGCAGCATTTACCTTCTCTTCACCTTGTTTTTGCTGTTGAGGTTGTGCTTGATTTGTCTCCGTTTCAGCAACATCCTTAGCAGGCTCTTGTTGTTGTTGTTGTTGTTCCTCAATCTTCTTCTGTTGAGGAGGAGCATTGGGTTCTTCTGTTGTTAGGGTAGAAGAATTCGAGTCTGAAGAATTCACAGCAGTTGTGGTTGTTGTTGTTGTGGTTGAGGTTGTGGTTGTTGATGATGCTTCCTTTGGTGAGGAAGCTTTGGATGGATGTTGTTGTTGTAGTTCTTCCATCTTCTTCGTGGGAGGATTGATATGATATGATATGGTAGATAGAAAGGCCGTGTTCACTGAGAAAGTTGGGAATTTTTCTCTGTTTAGCCAATTGATGAATGTAGTTAAGTTTGAAAACCATGATTTGTTTGATTGATTTAAGTCTCTTTGCTATGGTTAGTGGCTCCAAGCATGCGATTAACCAACAGAAATGGGTGCTTATCTTAACTGTTCACTTCATAGTATGAGTTTTCTGTTTGTGGAGTTATCGGATGTATCCGAAGGGACTGTATGTGGAGTTAGAATTGTGTATATAATGTAGAAAAGAAGTTTAGTGCAGTGGGTAAAAGAGCTTCCATGAATGATGAGACATTAAGGTCAAACTTAGTTAGGATATTTAGAGCATGGTTGTGGCTGATCGATATGCAAATACAGGAGGTCTGTTGGCCTTAGAATATACGGCAGCTTGGGAGTTACTCCCAGTTTTATTCTTTATTGTACATTCCGTGCCTCGATCTCATTTTGTATTGTTCGTTTCGTTGTTGCCTTTGCTTTCAAACTGAAGAGAATAACTGTGCTGGGGTTGTTCTGCTTGCTTCTTTAGTTCTTTGGTCTTGATTGGGTTTTAGGGATGTAAGGAATGGGTTTGTAGAGTTTACTTAATAGTCAATTTTTATCTCCCACATCCCACTAGAGTTCGAGTTATTTTCAGGGTTTGTAGTGTCGTTACCGTTGCTTATTGATTACATTTTGGACTGTTAATTGAAGGGTCTTGCTTGGCTGCATGAAAGGTGCAATTGAGTGTGTTAGTCAAGAACTATTTCATGAAATCAGGGTGACTTCAGTTTTAGCCAGTTTGGATGGAAATAGAGCGAGTGTTTATGGTGGTGTCATGGGTTATGGAAAGCTTAGTGGCTATGCTCGTGGTCATGTTATTTAGCTCTCAAAAGTTGTAAGTTGTGTGTGGTTTCTGGAAATATCACGGCTGTGAGAGAGACCGTGGATGTAATTCTGGAAATATCACGGCTATGAGATAGGCCGTGAGAGAGACCGTGTATGTAAAAACACACTTCTCAGTTTCCCAGAGGTTTTCACGGGTTGCCTTCGACAGTGTCACGGCCGTGAGATGAGCCGTGTTTTTGGATATGGATGATGGGCATCTCACGGCCCCATTGTTAATTCTCACGGGCCCCTTTGTAAATTCTCACGGGCCCCTTTGTAAATTATCACGGTCCCCTTTGTAAATTATCACGGGCCCCTTTGTAAATTCTCACGGCCCCTTTGTAAATTCTCACGGGCCCCTTTGTAAATTCTCACGGCCCCTTAGTAAATTATCACGGGCCCCTTTGTAAATTCTCACGGCCCCTTTGTAAATTCTCACGGCCGTGAGAATAAGCCGTGTGATTGTCTGGAGATTGTCTGGAGATATGCAAACTTCTCTTTGCTTCTCACGGGTCATGTCACGGCCGTGAGATTTTGCATTTTGGGTGAAAATTAATGAAAGCTGGGTGTTTTCATGGTTAATTAGTGTACTCAGGTGTTGATGTAGGGGGTTTTCAGTTCTTCTGGTAGTTAGAACTTGTATTTTGTTTGTACTCTTCGGCATGCTTATAATTCGTGTTTCAAGGCATGCTTATAATTTTTCTGTTGTTTTAATTTTGCAGTTTGCTAAAATTGTTCTATAATGAAGACGAAGAGGCATCAAATTTTCAGCACGCGATGTTCTCCTAGGAAAGTATTCTCAGTAGTCTCAAATTTAGAGGCTTGTCAATCAGATGCCATTAGGAGATGTGGCTTTGGTCGTATTCTTGAAGTCAAAGCAAGAAAGCTACAACGTGAGTTGTTGGAGAAACTTGTGAAGAGCTTTAATCTGGAAGAAAGCACAATTAAGGCGTATGGGTTGGAAGTGCATATTTCGGCCAAAGATTTCGCGCGAATTATGGGTGTGCCTGAGGGAGGTACTGATATCATCTTGAATGGTGAAGAAGTGGAGGGAAGATCAGAGGAACTGGAACCATTTAGAGTGTTTTCGACACGTGATTGTGGCCGACAGGCGATTTCCACAAGCTTAATGCAGAAGGAGTTGTCGAAGATGAAAGATAGCGACGATCTATTTCTTCAAATGTTTATTTTGTACGTAATGGGGGTGCTATTAGTACCAACTAGAAGAGAGGACATTTCCTTGTCTTCGGTATACGCTGTCACCGATGTTGCAGACATTCCGAAGAAGAATTGGGCATCCTTTTGCTTCAATGAATTGGTCAAATGCATCTGCGACCATAATGCTTCTAAAAGAGAGTATATACCGGGTTGCTTGCTGTTTTTGGAGGTAAATAATTGTTAATCCCGACTTTCTACATATTTGTAATGATTAATCATCATGTTGATTATAGTATTTTTTTTTTGTAGTTAATATTCTTGGAGCATGCAAATGGTATTTTCCAAACCGTTGATGGGAGTTTGGATTTGATGAGTTGGGGGAGCGGAGACGTGGAGTTATTGTTAACAAAAGTGGTAAGATTGATAGTATATTTGATTCTTTTGACAAGTTGGAGCATGCTAATGGTACATTTGGTTCCCTTTTTAATTAATTTATAGGTTTCCAGCAGTTCGGGGAAAAGATCAGCTGAGGATGCCGGTTTGAAATCACCTCCAAGGAAACGGGGAGAAGTAGATGGGAAACGGCACAAACCCGACGGGGATGAGCTACTTCTCTATGAGCGTATTGATGCTCGGTTTAGTACCATGGAGGGTAGAATTGACAACTTTGGTCAAGAATTTAGAGTGGCAATGGGTGATGCTGCTTCTAGAGATAATGAGCTAATGAGCCGGGTTGTGAAAATGGAGAACGAATTTCGGGCTTTTAGAGACGAAATCGGTACTGCAGTGAAGTCCCTTATAGAGGCAGTGAAAGCAACTGTAGGTGATCCGTTGTCAAGGGAGCAGCCTAGGGAACCCATTTCTCCTACAGCTGAGTTGAAAAAGAACGATCAGAAGGGTGAGGTTGAAAAACCTAGGGAACCCATTTCTCCTACCTTGGAATTTGTCAAGACTGCCAAAGTTGAGAATTCGGGAGAAGCTGAGGGGGAAATTGGAGATGAGAGATGTTCTGAATCTCCTTCTGTGAAAGTTGTGAAAAAGTCTCCTTGCAAGCAGCCTAAAGCGTCGCAAGTTGAGAAATTCATATTGTTGAGTGATGAAAGTGTTGCTGCTAATGATGGTTGTTCCAAGGCTGTGAAGGTATTTCACTTGATTAATTTTTCTAATTATTGGTTCTTATGGTGTGGTTACTAATGAACTGGTTTTGTTTTTTTTATGTTTTTGAACAAGAAAGGGGCGAAAGGGAGGTGCACTACGTAGTGTGTCTAAATTGAAGCCTAGTTTGTATGTGCTCTCTCCATTCGAACGGGCAAATCCCAGAGCTAAGAAAGCACAACCTTTGTACCGTGCTCCTCCCTTTGTTGTTGAGACACCATTGTCTCTGGAGGCAGTAAAGATGCTTCAATTTGCTTTTAGTAGTGAGCTTCCCGAAAGGTACCTCCCGAAATCATTACAAGTAAAATTGGATCATATTTGTAGGATGTTTTTGGTATTTGCTTATTCTAATGTTGTGTTGTTTGAACTTGGTATTGTATAACAGTGACACATTGGTTAGTGTTGGTGGCGGGGTTCTTTCCTTGTCACGTGAAGATTTTGTCGAGCTTTTGCCAAGGACCAAAATTTCAACAAGGGTAAGTTCATTTATGTGTGTAATTTAGTAGATTGAACGTGTATTGCTGACTTTGGTATATGTGATGATGATGCATTAGATTATAGAAATGGCGTGTCTGTGCAAGACACTAGAAGAACGGAGTTGTGGTCGCACTGGTGGCTTGTCTTGGTTCTTTCCACCTTCAGTTTCGGTACAGTTGTCTGCTTTGTCTATTCTTGTCATGAAATTAATCTATTTTTTGTTGCATGTAGCTTGTGTGGGTGACTGTGTTTTATTTTTCTAGGAGCGTGCGAGTCATTGCAACGAGGAGCAATTTATGGCTAAGATGCGTTCATATAAGATACATGAGCGATACTGTATTGGTGAGCTA